CCCCGCAGGGCAGAGGGCAGCCTCAGGCCAGGGACGGGGCTGCGTGGGGCAGGAGTCACCCACAAATAACCTCACGTGGCTGAAGAGGGTCTCCTGAGCACCCTCCGGAGAAGCTGAGAGGCCAGAGCTGGTTCTTCGGCAGCTCTCAAAGAGCTGGGGTCACCTGTGATGTGTTTAACTCGCGCCCAGGCCTGCGTGGGCCGGCTCCTGGCAGCTGAGTGGGGACGGGTCTCCTGGGGGTGTTGTCGGGTCTCTTAACGTGTTGATCTCTGCCAGTTGCACGTCTCAACGGGAGCGGGAGGAAGAGCCTCTGCACAAAGATGCTTTGTCCCCAGCAGGCTGCGCAGCCTCCAGTCCTTCGCAGGGAGCAGCGCGGGGCCCGCCTGCTTCAAACCCCTGCGGAGGCGAAGGATTTGCTGCTCCCATTCACTGCCCGAAGGGGCCGAGGGTGTTTCTGTCTGCCCCGGACCCCTGCGCTGCGGGGAGCAGCGGAGCAGCCACCGACGGCTCCTCTCTGCTGGGGACCCCCCCCGCCCCCCCAGAGCAGAGCACTGGCTTGGGGGATCTTGGCTCTTGCAGCCCCCCGACCTGCCTCCTCCCTCCTCTTCCTCACCCGCCAAGGCCGCAGGCTCCCAGGGGGTCCCAGGTGCAGCTCCCGTGGGGCTGGACGCCGGTGGCCCCCTGGGCTGTCCTGCCCGGAGGCAGCGCTGGGCAGAGGGAGCGCAGTCGGAGCCAGAAAGCCGAGAGCCGTGTCTGCCCCGGCAGCATCGCCCCCCTCCCCACCCGCAGCCCGAGTCCCTCTGTCACCAGGCAGCGCTTTCTGCCGTGGGCTCCCAGAGCCTTCGCTCTCCATCAGCAGATTTTGCTCCCTGCAGAACCAGGGAATTTTTTTCCAGCTAAGATCCAAATTCCCAGGTTTTCCTTCAGACCTTGCCCACATGCTCCCTGCATCACGGGGGCCCTGCAGCCCATCCCTTTTCCATTGATGCCTCCAGGTAAACTTTCCCTGCAGGACCACAAAGCTCCATACGCCACTCCCAGCTTCAATCCTCCGGTTTGCTCATGCTCTCGGATATCAAAGGGATCAAACGAAGCCCCTAAGAGCTGTTTCTAGTGATGGCTCAGTTATTAATGGTAGCGCATCGCTGGCCGCTGCCGTCCCGCTCGACAGACGTGACGCCCAGGGAGAGGGACGGGTCAGGGACCGCTCGCAGCCCCCGAAGCCGCAGCCCGCCGCAATTCCCCGTTTCTGGTTTCTTTGCCAGATGTATGCGTGCGTACAGACACACACACACACACACACGCGCACACGCAGCTTTTCAGGCTGTTATTTGGAAAACAAAGACTGACACTTTGCCTTTGGAAAGCTGACAGCAGGATGTGTTTGGCCACAAGGATACAAGAAACAAAATATTTTCTAATTCCGTGCTGCGTTTAAGGGCAAACTACCCTGGGCTCATCTCACAGGATGAGCTTTGCCTGGCAAGGATCACAGGCAGGGAAAAGCGGAAAACATGGGAAGTTTTGGCACAGATGGGACATCCCCAGTTTCTTCCAGAGCCTGTGAGCTCCCGCACACACGCTCCCATAGGAGCCTGGGTCTATCGGTACCACCGTGACTGAGGTGACAGGGAGGAGACGGGGCGGTGGGACTGGTGTGGGGCTGCTGGTGGAGTCCCTAAACGAGCTGGTGGGATGAGGAGTGGGACTGGGGGAGATGGGGGGTCACTCAGCGCACCTATAGCATCCACTGCTGAATTAATGCCTTTGTTAGGCACCCCCCCTGCCAGCTTCTGAGCAGGTCTCAGCTGGAGGGTATAATATCGCTGCATTTTCTGTAAGCTTTTTAGCCAAGAAATGCCCTGATTCAGACTCCAAAAAGTTGCAGCAGGAAGGAGGGGAGAGGGACGATGTCCCCAGGCAGCCCCGGCTCCAGCAGCAGCTCCTGCACTGCTGAGCCCCATCGCAGCACCCAGCGCTTCGAGCCCTGCCTGGCAGCCGGGCACATCCCCCTGCCTGTTCGCTTCCCACCCCCGGAGCGGGTTTTGGGGCCGGGATGAGGTTACACGCAAGGCTGGCGGCAGAGCCCGGGGCTGGGCTCGCAGCGGTGCGTTTCCCGTGGCTTGGCGATCTCAAAGTCACCGCTGCGTGCACGCAGCCCCCGTGCCGAGGCCGGATTGCCGTAGCCCAAATGCAGCACAGCAGAACCCCGCTTCGTCGTGCTGCTCGCCGGGCTGCACCCCAGGGGACCCCTTCAGCTGGGTTTGGGGGGAACCCTGCAACGCATCGGGGTGCCCCACATCAGGCTCACCCCGGCTCCTGCTGCTCCGCACGGCACGGATACGGGGTCGGCACCCACTTGCTGCAGGGAGAGGAGCCCGGGCTGGGTGCAGACCTGCTGGGGAGCTGCTTGACGTGGGTGGGGGCACCCAGCGGAACGAAATCTGCCCAGATCCTGGCCCGATTTTATTGCCTCCCCCCCTTTCCCTTACTTTTGCTCCTTGGTGCTGACAGGTGGTGGCAAGAATCAGGCTGAATCGCTTGCATTGGGCTCTGCGGGCACCACGGGTTTGCACACATGTGTGCAAGGCAGGGCCAGGACACAGGCTGGAAGGGGAGAGCGAGGTGTTGTGCTGGGGGGGGGACCCCAGTAGCCCCCATACAGCAACGCAGACTGGGCTGTGGGGTCCAGACCTGCCACGGGGACCCACACCTCCCGTTGGGACCCACACCTCCTGTGGGGATCCACCACCCAGAGCCACCACCATCGCCAAGGCAGGAGGCAGCAGTTCGGGGAGGCCCAACCTCGCTGCCGCTCGACACTCGGGATGGCGGCGAGGCTGGCCGTGCTGAAGGGGAGCTGGGTATTCCCAAACCCGCCTGCTCCGCTCTCCCATCCAGCCCTAATCCCTCCCAAACCGGCGTTAACCCAGAGCTGGGAATGGAGCGGGGCAGGAGCGGTGCCACCGAGCAGACCCCCGGCCGCACCGAACTCAAGGACTTGGGGAAGGAAAGACGACAGCGGCCCCAAACCTCCCCCGTGATTGCGGGATTGATTAAGTACACTGATGAAGACAGCAAGGTTAATACGCATTCCAGTGAATTATAACACTGTCAGCCCCTTGGCCGGGAGATTTTTCACGTTTCCATCAGCTGGCATCTCGCACAGATTTTCAGGGGGACGTCTTCCCCTCCCGACCTCCCTGCCAGGGAAAGCGAGAGGAAAAGCCTTGGTTTTACTGACTTTTTAACTAAATCCGAGGCAGAGACTTTTTATCCAGAGAAAGCTAATGTAAACTGTTAGAGATAAATAAATGGAAGAGCTGCCTATAGTCTGGTTGGCTCACAGGGAAGAAATTTGTCTCACTTTAGAAAAAGGACCTGAAGGTATGGGGGCTGTTGACTCATTCATCGTACTGTTATCTGCCAGGGAGGTTGTGACATCAGAGCAATTAAGACAAACTTTAGTCTATAAGTTCACGCCTGCAACCTCTATACTTCAAAAGAAGACAAACGATCCCTCCAAGGAAGGAAACAAAGTCTTTTCCAGGCTGCTTCCAAAGTAACATTTTGGATTTGTAGTGGTTCAGGAGGAATTTTTCACCAAATTGTTTTTTTTTCAAGCTGCTGGTATATAATAAACTACCTGAGCTTTTTTTTTTTTTTTTTAGCAAAAGTTTATTTCCAATGCAAAGACAAGCAAACAAAAGCCCCAGCCGCCTCCCTACCCAGGTCACACACACCAACTCTGCCTTTCACGGTCCTCCTCTCTTCTGTGGGTTTTTTTTAATAAGCGTCTTAACGCAAGGACCGATTAAACGTGCGTCAGCCCGTTGTGGAAACGCACACAGAAGCTGCAGGAGTAACAAACACACAGCAGAGACACCGCAGTTGTTCCTCCCGTTACGGTAACAGCAAACCTGGGAGCCTTTGCTTGATCCAGCTGCACCCATCGTGCAGCGACTCCGATGTAAGAAAATAAGCGCTCAAGGTAGAGCTGAGAAAGGCAAGATGCTGCCGAGCAAGCCACGAGCTGCTGGGATAAGAAGTAAAACCCTGCAGCCTGTTCTGTGGCCAG